ATGTCTAGTTTCATTCTTTTCTTTCAAATACATTAATAATTAATATTTTAAGAAAAATTCTGTTTTTAAAAAATTGTTACAGTAACTACACCTTCAGCGTACAGGCAATGTTTGTGACATAATTCTTGCCAAGTCGTTATAGAAGAGAAAGAGGACAATTTCTCGTTTTATTTTACCCCTTCAAATATTACGTAGCGCCTCGTATATAACAGTACCAGGTGCTGGCGACGCAAGTTCCTCTTCCTTCTTCGTCGTCGAGAAATCTCACGAGTAGACAACGCCATGCGCGATAAAAATAACTCGAGCCGCATCGTCGCGGTCGTCGAGCGCTTGTTTAATAGAGGCTCGCTGTTCTTCGGTGCAACAGCTGCGGGTGGTTAGATTATTACCGAACGGGATTGAATCAGCCAAGCACAAAATGAACTCAAGTCCGAGTGCGATCGAAAATACTGCCACGCGCGTTTCTTGCAAATGAAACAAACTCGACGCCATCAAAGGAAAGAGAAAGAAGTAGGGAAACGATTTACAAAGTTTGGAATTACATTAAACATGCGCGCACTATTAAAGAACTAATTTATCTTCTCTTTGAAGACAAGATCACAAACAGGAGAGATGTTTATTTTCTATGAGTTGACGAGAGAGAAAAATGGAAATTTGATTCTTTTATTCAAAACCACAGGAAATATCTGTCGTAAACAAATCCACTGTTATGATTATGATTATGATAAGGACATGTCGTTAATATGTTTACCATTTCTTGCTTAGTCTGCGCAATTCTTCTCGAATTTATCAATTATTGAGCTTCGCGGCTCAGTAAACTCAGTTGGAGTGTTAAATATTAATTTGCCTAAAATTCATTCAATATTTCCAATATTCACCGATAAAAATGTAATAATTGAATGATTACTGTACTTTTTCTAAGAAAGCTTACTGTTGCAAATCTACTTCATGTAAAACGTTTATCTTATTTTAACTCTTTTGCATGCAAAAGAGAAATTTTTTTTTAAAACCTTTGCGGGATTTACTTTTATGTAATATTTTTCCTATATATTTTCGAAGAAACTTTTAATTTTTTTAGATAATTTTTAAAGAAATTTTAAGACTATCAATTAAAAATTATCAGAGTCACTTTTATTATTCGAGTTCTTTTTCAAAATTTATTATAGTTGCAGTTCTGCAACTGCAAACAAAAAAAGTCAGTGTGAGCGATAATAGAAGATATTCTAGTTTTTGTTCTGCACAGTTCAGCTATTAATTTATAAGATATAAATGGATGCATGTGAATAAAATGATATGTAAATCAAGTCCCTTCTTAGCAATGTATGTAAAATAATAAATTATTTATTCTATTTAATAAATAATTCTACATCAAAGAATTTTTAATTTTTTATTATACAAAAAATGTAAAAAACAAAAGACGATAACGAACAAGTGCAATATTTTTCACGACCCAACGTTGTTTGACGTTATTAAGAAACGAAACTAATCATGCTCAATATACTTCTTTAAACGAAATTCCATTTCACTGTTCACGTTTTTCTTATATATCTTTGTCCAAGAAATCATCCATTATAGTCATATTCTGCGATAAAAAGTATTAGGTGTGGGAAAAAGTTCGTGGCGTTTTTCCCGTTAGATGGCAAAAAAAACGCCATGAACTTTTTCCCACACCTAATATTATTGATCAATATCTTAGGAAAACGTACAATTTTCTGATAAACATTCCGAAGATTCCAAATATGAATCAAGTGACACTTACAAGAAATTTTATTATGTTTTATCGAGGTCATCGTCTCTGGATTACTATAATCGCGGCTGTATCTACAAGCGTGAGTCCTCTTATCGAGGAATCCGTCGCGCCGTTTCCGGGACGCAATGGCGTACGATCGTCACAACCAACACGAGATCTAACGAGCAAACGCGGTTCCATACGCGGAAAGATCGCTCATCTCCCTTGCGGCAACCATAAAACCGCGAAGGACGTTGCAATTTCTCGCGGTGGATGTGGTCACAGCAGCTTCATTCTCCTCTTTCCACCATCGTTTTTATTGTATGTCTCGCTCTCAACAGCATTTAACAACATCAATAAAAAAAATATACGCGTTCTTGAATAAAAATTCTTTTCGAGACCGTCTAAAAGACTGCATCATCTTACACAAATAAAATCAATTCCATATTTTCGTTGAGTTTAAACGAAATTTCAATAATCTCGTTGAGGTAATATTTTTTGCAATAAGTTCTTTATAAGGTGTTTATATTAACACCATTATTAAAATTGACGATCAATGTGACGATAAATGATGTTATTTCCAGCTTCAGTTTACGATTGCGTTTTCAATTTCGGCAAATCGAATTGGCGAACCTATAGAATTAAAAATATATTTACAGCGTTAAAAAACATATTTGCAAAATTTGCAATTCGATCAAAAATAAAATTCTCTTTCTTATTTGATAAAATTCAAGATGCGATTTTATCTTCAAACAGAAAATTGTATGGATGAGCCTCTCGGTTTAAAAAAAGAATTACGAATTTGAATTATTATCTTTCATTGGCGACATCGCGAAGAATCATGGACCAAGAGTAAAACCGGAAATCGACTGACAAGATAGCTCACCCCACGAACGGAATGCTTCGATGTCTAGTGTACATGCTGTTGGTCTCACCGCTTCGTCCTCCCGCCGTCTTTCTGCATTACCACACGGCCGCTAACTCAATTGGTATGCGACTGCGCGAGCCCGCCAGATGCACAACCGCCGTTGAGGTCAGTGTGCGGTGCCGGCGATGCGTTGTCTAGTCGAGTTTCAACCGAGTGTGCATGCTGTATTGTAAAAAGAGAGAAAAAAAAATAACGCGCATCTCGTCAGCGAGTCTCGGAAAATCAAACCCGACTCCACCAATCATTTGAGACTGACAGTTCGAATTTTCGCATGTATCATGGAAATCTGTCTGAATATATACTAGTATACATGCGAAATTTTCACTAAACAATACGTCTCTGTCAGACTTATCAGAATGTACGCAGTCGGGGTATAATCGAGGCCGTTGAACGCAGAACAAGATGAAAGGCACGTGGGTGGGAAAAGAGGAGAAAGGCTACGCAGTTCTCTTCCCTTAATACGATATTTATCTTCCCCTTCTCAGAGAGAATCTGCAAAAATCAAGCTGGTTGCTGCGCGGGGTCTTCAATTATCCTTTATAGGCGGTACGAAGTGAGTACTGACGAGGTGCTCGGACGGCCGAAGAAAGTGCAAGGCAAGAACCGGCTCGAGAGATGGTAGACCCCCTACCGGTTTTACTTGGTCCCCCTGTGTAGTAGCTTATTCAAGCCCGCCGCCCCTCTCTGGCTTCCCCTCCCGCCGTTCTTCCGTTCCACGTTGAGTAGTCACGAAGAGAGAACCCTCTCCTTAATTGCAGGACGACCGGAAAAAAAAATGCTCGATGTGGCTTCTGGGTTCTACTTTATTGCGCGTTGACTCTCGCATACAGCTCGGAGCATAAAATTAAATGTCACGCGCGGAAAAGTGCAACGGAGGCCCCGATCGCGTCCTATATTTAGCGCCCGTCGCGCGAAGCGTTATCGCTCCCGGTCGATCTGAACTGAAATTGATCGAAAATTCAGACCCCATAGATCTAGAGTTTGTCTCTGGCAAAATATTGGTCCTGCATTATATGATACATCGCATGCAATTATTAATTATCAATAAGAATTATCGCAAGGATGATCTAAATTATCCAAGAGTTCTGTATCATTAAAATATTAAACATTTTGATGTTACAATATTGTCAAGATAATTAAGAATTTGCTGTTATAATATGTTAGAAATATGTTTAATATTTGCCTTTTTCTTTATCACGATGTATATTAAATATGTTTCCTTGTCTACGTTCTTGTTATCGCGCAGTTATTGCACTCTGTTTAACTTCACACTTGCATTCGCATATATCGTTCATATATGAAAATTAAGCGAAAGGAAAATTTTTTAAATATCCGAAGATTGTAGCTTCAAAGAATAGTAAAATTAAATATGTAGAAATATATATCCATAATTGAGAAAAATGACTGTCGTGGACGATCAGATTTATAAGACAAAGCTTAAGATGCTACAAGTGTTATCTAACACGCGTTATCCGCGAATCGCGTTTCCACCGGATGCGAATGAAGACGACGAAGGAGCAGATAAGAAGGCGGCGAAGACAGAAGAATCTTAGCTGGAAGCTCGCGAACGAGGCAAAGAGAAGGACGTGATGAAGTGAAGAAAAAGACGGAAGGGACCGAGAGAGAGAGAGAAGCGAATAGGAGCGAAGAAGAGAACGAAGACGCAAAATGAAGGACGGGAGAATCGTCTCGGGGGCCGTACCATGGCTACACCACGGACCTCTGGCATTCCCGATCATTATTCCACGGGTTTGCTGAGGGAGAGGAGGACGGCTTCAGGCTTGTCCTTGGCACGGAAGGCAAGGTTAATCCCATTGCATCTCGGAAGCGTGGTGATCTACCGATCGACGACGAGTTGCTTTGCTGCCGAATTGCGCGTATTTGGTACTCAAGGTCAACTCAAGATATGATTTATCATGAAAGAAATTTCATAAACAGGCGAGGAGCTTCTTATTTAATATATTTGTAGTTGAAAGTAATTTCTTTTGAATTTATACACAAAAGAATGAAGAATACTAACAATAATACTCTCTAAAGTCTTTAGAATAAAATCTCACATTCTAAAGAGTGAAAATTGAGCCAGTCTTGATAAAGAGTTGCTCAATTTTCCATCTTTAATTTTCCATCAATGTTCATAGTCAGCTCTTATCTTATTCAAAATCGTCTTAAGTTCAGCCTTGAGGTATCACGAATCAATTAGAGAGCCGCATTAGCATCTTAAGTCATTACTTAAGACGGTCTTCAAATAAGAATAGCGACTATGAATACCGGTCTAAGAGTGAGATTTCACTCTTCGAAGTGAGATTTACTCTAAAAGATTTAAAGAGTAGGTAAGCGACGTACCTTATGCGCGAAATTATCATCTCTCTCCTGGTCTTTCTTCAAAGCACTTCTTACGCTGTCGAAGTCGCTCGTTGTCTTAAAAGTCGTGCTGTAGTTGTTACTCAGTACCTCGGCAGGTGGCTTATAATCGCGGTATCCGGTAGGTGAGGGTGTCTTTTCGAAGGATCGCTCTATAGTTGCGGGCGTGAGACCTCCGGAAATGACATTCGTGACAGTGGAAGAGCGATCGTCGTCCATTTCGAATACGTCGTCGCTCATGCTATCTTCGGTTGTCAAAAACTGCGAATCATAATTAACGCAAAGCCTTTGAACATTTCTAAATGTGTTTAACGTCATTGATTAACATAAATATGTAATTTAAACATAAAACTTATAATTTATTTATTTTTAATCAATTATTTGTAAAAAATATATTTAATTCACAGAAAATTGTCACATTATCATTAATGCCCAAAATTAACCAATTACTTAATTAATGTATAACTTTAAGGAATAAAAATATTCAACTACTCGAATCCCAATAGTATACAATTCTCACAAAAGTTCTTTAAACGGCTGATCGAGAAAATCCAGTTCGCTATTTTACTGTAATTACAATCCCTTTGATCGTTTTCGAGTGTCGTATAGGTCGCAAAGAAATCGTTCGCGGTCTTTCTACCTACAGTAACTTTCCGCGAAACGAGTGCCGCTTGTCGCATTATCGAAGCCTACCGGAGAAACCAGTTCGGTAGATGCTCTTCGTAAATGCCATTGCCACGCAGCGAATGCTGAAATAACTGTCCTTCGATCGACCGACATCTCCATCTTCGAAGAACGTGCCGTAACGCCACGGCCTTGTGTAGTACTTAAAGCCAATTAGTCCTCGACTCTGATATAGAAGCTAGATCACTACACAGTTGCGCGCGATCATAAAATGACATGAAGATGAGTACCTGCATTCTTTATGGAGTCACGAATGCGCTCACTAACCTCGTGTAACATCGTGGAGTTAATCACAGACGAAAATTGTCATGTGAGAACTTTTAACTCATTGAAGTATTTGACATATTCAAAAAATATGATAAGGTAAAAGACTTGTCGTAAACGTGTTCGTGACGTCTTAGTCGTAACATTAGCAGCGTCTCTTGAAATTGAAAGGGCTCGCGTGGAATCGATAAATTTACATGGTGGAAAGCAACTGGCATACATGATTTATGGTTCGCACTGTTCCCTACGAAGAGGCACCGAAGAAGTCCGATATAATCTCCCGGGTAGCCAGCTCCCCGCTGAATATTTTAGCGAATACACTCCATGAAGGTTACTTTAGCGACGTCTGACTACTTCGATTCTTCACGTCGCGCGCCTTAATGGCCTTTATCGATAGCACGTACAAATGATAGTGCAGCAGTAGTTTACTATTATCATCATTACATTAATTCTCGTATTTCAATTAGCATTATGAATTTAATATCTCTTTATTTTATATTGCAATATATTTTATATAAAAGTAAAAACGTTTTATCATTCTATGTGTGTTCTTTATTTCATTTTATATGTCACATAAAATCGTACATTTTGTATATGTATACCCATGTACAAAATTTTTCCCCAATTTTTCCCGATCCCTTTTTCTTACTTTCTATGTGTATAATATTGATATTGTAGATTTGTACACTGATCCCGTAATTTGAATTAATTTATACTTTATGCTACAGTTAAATCACGTAACAGTATGATGGGACAAAGTAACTGGAATGTTATGGTAATGAATACCCGCATTGTCCCAACATCGCTTCCCTTCCGAAATAATTGCCTTCCATTTCATTTTACCCCAATGTTAGACCGCCCTTCATTAATCCCATCCCTGAGATATCACGTGACGTACAACTTTTATTATGCGAAATCAGTTCAAACATCAAGATTTGCCTTCATATATATTGACATATAAAAAATATATTTATAAATTTATAATAAATTTATTTAGACCGTATATATGAATACACAAATAAGAATATTAAAGCCTATAATGGTTGAATTTATAAATTATACTGTTCGAAAAAAAAAAACGAAAATGAGATTAATCATTTTCCGTAGTTTTTTGAATGTTGAATACAAATCCGGTTTCCAAATTGTTTTCTCATACATCACAATTTTGAAAATCGGATTCGTTTTCAGTGTTCAAAAATTTAAAAAAAAGAAAGACTACTTTTGTTTCGATTAATTATTTTATATTTAACAGTATTATCAACAGTATTAGAATAAACGCATTTGTGCGCGTAGATATCGATTTGGAAAAGCAATTCTGTTAATGACCGAGATACGAAATAGTTTGTTTCGGCGTGTATAAAGAGCAAGAATCGATGAAGCAAAAAAAAGGAGATGGAAATTACAGCTTTAGAAATGCACTATTGATCAAGCCAGACGCTTAATCGAACACGATCGATAGTGACCTGTGTACGACTACCGGACTCTTGGGATACTTGTTGCACCGGTTCTCCACGCTCATTACTCAACTGACGGTTGTCCATATACCGGTGATAAAGTCGGCAACGATAATTGGGTTGCAAAAACCGTCGCGATACCACGACACCTCGGCACCTCGCGCGATCGATCGATTCTCCCAAGAATAAATTCACAGTTACAAACTGGATCAAGTGTTTAAAAATTTTCAAGTTTTTGATACAGTAAAAAAAAATATTTGAAAAAATTTTGATACATAATATCAAAACAAATCTTTATAATTTTTATATTATTTAAAAATCCAAATATTCGTAAAAGTGGACTTTTCATGAATTTCTTATATTTGTAATACTTATTCAATTGCGCAAATCATTGTACATTAAGGATACATGTACTTACATTAACAGACGCCGAAGCGGGAACAGTAATTGTGTTTGGACCATCACCAACACCACCTCTCATCGTGCTCTTCTAAACGCGAATATCGTCTCTCATTAGATAACTGCAAATAACAAAATGTTATCCGTTAGTATGTTCTATTTATGAATAAAGATAAACAGCGTTATAAGAAATTATAATATAAAAAACTGTGTATGAATTTAAAAAAAATTCTCTTTCAAAAATAAATGCAAAGAATGTACAGTCACACGCAGGATGTTTTTTGTGAATGTCATATATTTAAAATTTTTACATTAACAAAATTATAAATGTTTCGGCTCGTATCAGACTATCTTCAGTATGCGGTATATAATTTATCAATAATTCGTAATGATAAAAGTAAAGGAATTAAAATAAACAATTAAAATAGTTCATTGTAGTCTATGCTTGTGTAAGTTGTTAAAAATAATTTGCCTCTATTAGTCCTAATAAGAGATTTATTTTTACAGTAAAAAAAAAAACAATTTTTAGAGTTCTCGATAATCAAAGTAATATTATAATAAACCGAGCAAATTAGAATTAATATGATTGTTATTTGTGTCTTTTATACAAAAATCTGCCTTTTCTATTTATTCATACAATATAATAATTGATCAATTCGATTGTTCTTTACCATTAGCCATTTTCAGTATTTCTGACGCCGACGTGGACACATATTTAATGACTATCTTAGAATTATATGATTGTCATTGTAGATTTTTGTAACAGAATAAAGCAATTTCTTAAAACTTAATTTTGACTTTGATTAAGAAGAGCTGTGCTCACAATTCAATGAAGATTCAATTCACTCAAGGTTTTTGGAAATGCATTGGCATTTATTTATTTATTGAAAATAATTGGACTTAGATTTATGTTGGATTATCCTGAAGATGACTGTAAAGAACAGCCGAAACGTGATCAATTATTGTATATTGTATGAATAAATAGAAAATTTATTCATACAATATACAATAAAATTTTATTATAATATTATTTATTGAAAAGTTGTATGAAACATCAAATTTCTAGATTTCAATTGAGAGACTATAAAATATCTATTTAAAAAATATTCTCTTCCTCGCAATGAAATAAAATATAATTGCTCAATTATTACTGTCATAAATATTTCAAGCATTTTATTATAATATATTTTTAAAAAATCGGATTTTATCTCTCAATCCCTGCATAAGTCTCTTTTCTACAAGAAGTTTATACAAAGGCGTTATCATAGTTCTAGGCGACCGATTCTATAGTTCGAGTGTAAATTTACTCAAAGGGTGCGAGTTTGCTTCACAAGATCAAAGTTCGACTAATGATATATATACCGCGATGAAGTCATCGTATCAATCCTGGTCGAGGAAAATCGAGGAACCGCACTCTGCAAAGCTCTCCGCACTGTCTAAATTCGATGAGTGGTTCTATCCATTCAATTTCAACTCTTCTTCGACTCACAGTCACGTAATATGCGCGCACTTTCACGCAACATTAGAATAAGCATTCATGAGGGCATTTCTATCTCTCATTCTATCGATATTCCATCAATATGATGTCATTTCTTTTTCGGAAGCACAGCTTTTCCTCTCGCTTCTTCTCTCTCTCTCTCTCTCTCTTCCCTTTCATCATCATGTTTTACAGCCTAACGCCTAATCTATATTTTCTACGCTCGTTCTGCCATCCCGTTCTCTCCCTTCCTCAACAACACGTGTGCTTTCTCATCGTCTTTTTCTCCCCAACCATCGCCGAACTTCACATGCAATCACGCACGCATCATCTTCACACTCACACATATGCGCTACACATACATAAAACGTCCCGCGTGACATTCTATCCCTCTCAGGTGCACACTTAGCCTAACCACGTTCGAGTGTCGTTCGTCACACGCCCGACAACAGGACTACTTTTCCATCCTTTCTCACTCACTCTTTCACCCGTAACATCTTCACGCTTCGTTTCATCGTTAGTCTCCCGTGCTCTCTCGCTCTCACTTGCGCCATTACGGTTCTTCAGCCTCTTTGTCACGCGCACGATCAGAGAGACCGGCGCGCTGTTCATCTCTGTCATACGCTCTCTCTATCTCTCGATGTGGCCTACCCACCGCAATAAGTTCCACCCGCCCACGTTACCTTTCACGCACTTCTCGCCGGCCGATCATCCGTTGCGGATCGAGAAGCAGGCGATTCGCTTATCTCACCGCTCGATCTTTCGACGACCAACTCGATCGGCTGACTGTCCGAAAAAGGGAGACAAAGGAGCATTTTTATTTCCTTTGCCGAGACCAATCGGATATAATACCGTTGGGATATCTGATAATAATTATGCACAAGTAATTGTAAATTTGCAGATTAAAATTAAAAACTCAAAATTGAGAGCAATTCACACTTTCCAAACTTATAAGGCAATCTTTTTAAATTCTTTTTAAATTTTTTTTCTGAATATGTAAATTCTTCTTAAATTTAATTATATAATTTTTTATGGATTTCAGCTTAAATTAAACCTCTTGAATCATCATAAAGTAACAGGACTGACTCGACAAATATGGAGCAACCAAGATCGGAGTAAAAAGCAGTTTTTCTAGTAGAATGCGTTGATTTTTTAGGGAAATTATTTGCCCTTGAAGTCGGTATTCAGTACGCTTTCTCGGTTGTCTGATTTCTTCTCCAATTTTCACAGCCAGTTGAGCGAAACGTACTCATGGCCGGAAACATTAGTAGAATCACACTCGAGGAACAAAGGATGTCATTATTTTAATCGATAAAGTTATTGATATAGTTTGTGAAGACGGTCGTGCAAAATAGATTTTATTTCATTGTTGATTTAATATTCATTGATCAATCGATATGTAGTAATCGATAATAAAGAATTAATAATAATTAATAATAATTAATAATTAATAATAATTAAATGCTTCAGATTTTTGATAAATCAATTTTAATAAATATGATTCGTCTCAATAAATGCAATATTTTTTTATTACTCCTCTCATGTTCTAAGAGTGAATACTTTTATTAAAGTATTTATTAACTCCCCAATTAACTATGAAAATACATCTAAATTTTAAACATCCCCTTTAAAGTACAAAATGAACATTTACCTTAAGAAGGATTGATGGAGAAAGATTCAAAATTTGTTTATCTACAATTTAAAACATCAGAAGACTAATTGTAATAAATAACTAATAAAAAAATAATTAATAAAAATACTAATTGTAAGAAATTTACAATCGTCTAAAAATTTTCGTTTCAAACTAAACGCTATAGTTTAAAGTTCACGTAAAATAATACGCTAAAAAAGTCTCAGAAATTTTTTAAATATGTATATTCATCACGCATCTTAATTTTTTAAACGTAATCAAGTACGATAACTGTAAAAAAAAATCATTATGTTACAAAAAGAAAATTTTTTTAGATTTTCTTAAATTCTATAAACAGTTTTTAACGTTGTGTATAATTTTGTAATATTTTTGTTAATTGACAAAGTGATCTCGTTTATTTCCTCAATCCCGAATCGCATTGACAAAAACCCCACACGAATACAACGGAATCGTGCACTTGGACTTCGCGGAATCGCGCCGGCGCTGATGCCGTATCTCGTGCTACGAAATCACATTGAGAATTTGATTGCACGATGCTCGCGCTGGCCTTAATGAGAGCGAGCCTCCGATCGAGTAAACCTAAAGGCCATCGTCACGTCGAATCGTTCGAGTCCTCGCGGCACGATCGCGCGCACCATAAAAGCGCTCTTTCTATATTTAGCTACGGCTTCATATATATTCCCCACCTATATCGCCGCCCTCTCATTTGTTTTACGAGTCCGCGCGCCACGCTTTCATTATGTTTACACACGCCCCGCGAAATTGTCGCGCGACACAAATTACTAGACCAGTTTACCGATCGCGTTAAATGATTACGCACAACAGCCGCTTGTCCAAATCATCACACACATCTCACGGGAATCAATACTAGAAAAATGCCTATTACGATCGAAGCTAGATCTTTATTGTTTTAAATAATTCAATCTTGAATTACTTATATACACTATATATGTACTTGCATATATTATAGTCTTTTTAGAACTGCGCACCGAATTGATAAGCCTCGATGACTTAATAGCTTAAAACGCTCGTACGGAATACAAGAGATTTGAGTTCATCCCGGCCGAAGTAATATTCGCAATAAATTTATTAAGAGTTTCATCATATTAACATCTTTATAATGCTGATGGTAGCATCAAATTATTAAATTGCTTGTCAATTTAATTCGCGATTACTAGAGTAGTTTTAATTGCGTTTATAGTCCGGAAAAACAATTCGGCGCGCAGTTCAAAAAGACAATATGATATATATGCAAGTACATATAAAATGTATATTAGTAATTCAATATTGAATTATTTAAAGCAATGAAGATCCAGTTTCGATCGTAATAGGCATTTTTCTAGTATTGATTGTATTTCTCACATAAATACATGCGATCTAAAATAAAGATTCTTAATATTGTTCTCATAGGATTTATCTCATAGGAATATCTTTTTCTCGATCCAATCGCTGGCTGCGAAATCGTGGTGTCTTAAAGGCGTCATCACAAAAAAGTAAAATCATCAGTAAAAAAGTTTTTAATTGTAATCGTAAAATCGTACGAGTACATCGATCAATTATGATCGAGCATTCTAAAATACAAGATTAGGTAATGCTAAATTACAAAGTTAAGTTATGAAGTTAAAAAGTCAATTAATTTTCAAATTTTATTTAGTTACATTTTAGAGACTCTTAACTTTTTAACTTTTAGTTATATTATATAGTTATATTATATAGTTATATTTATATTATTCGGTAACTATTAATTTTTAATTTGATTTTTTAACAATTCTCATATTAAAAAGTTAATATGAAAATTGAGTAGTTTTCGTTATATAGATCCTATACTCGGATTATGTTTATACTATTATTCGTGTCTGTCGGAAATGTATTTTTCTAATTTTAAATAATTTCAAAGAATTCAATTATGTTTAAACAGAAAAGAATAAAGAAGTTTGAAAGCAATCCGTCATGACCTAAAATCATGATTTTCTCGAAAAATACAGAAATGCAATTTACTGCTTTATAGAGATTATTTTTTGATACTCAGAATAATCGCGCAAAAGTTAATCAAAATTCGTAAACTACATGTGAGTCTCCTTATTAAAGTTAAAAAAGTTAAAAAAGTTAACTTTTTAATTTAATTTTTCAATTTAGTTAAAAAAAAGTTTACTTGAAATCATGAAATAAAACATTTACAATAACTTTTAATTGTTCAATTACTTTTTCAATTACTCAATGTCACTATGGATTAACTTTTATCTTAACTAAATTAAATTTTCAAGACTGTTAACTTTAATTAAACTTAAAAAAACTTTTAACTTGTCCAAATGCTAAATCTGCTAAAATGTATAAATAATCGATTTATTTATACAGCTTTACGGTTATCCCACAGCACATCGCAATCAACCATTGAAAATTCCTCTTATCCGCGAAATGGAAGGAACGGAAGGATTCTAATTGATTGATTCTCTTATGTAGTATGCGTTATGCAAAAGTCTGTGTTTACGGCCTTACGACTAAAATTTTGTTACGTGATGGCCTTTAGATATTGATTTATCCGCGTGTACGATCCGCCACATCGTGCGTCGTGTAGGTTATCGCGATCGGATACGAAATTAACGATGGCATGTAACATCTCTGGGAACGAGAGATCGCATCGAGTCCTATTGTTATCGTCATTTCGAAGTCACGTCTACGACCTCGCACAGCGCACCCGCGATTGGTGCTTTCTAATCTGCATCTATACGATGTGGTTGTAGATCGCGGCTTTTAACTGCAAATTCTGTCGGCATAATAAATTATTTCTTGTTCATTATCTAGCAGTCTAGTCCATCAGTCCGCAGGGAGATTTCCCTATGATCAATCGTGTATAGAATCGCGATTAATGAAACAAGGAAATAAAGAAAGTAATCGAAAGTAATCGCTACAAGCGAAGATTACTTTCTTATACTATACTTACTTGTATCTCAAAAAGGCTATTAAAGCACTCAAAAGAGCGGCATTATTATTAATGGATTTTTTGTAAAACAATAAGTTTTTTAATATTTTAAAATGCTTATTAGCATCATTATTAAATTAATAATTTATGATATGTTACTTCAGCATTTATGATTGCATTTCAAGTCTGACAATAATCACAGTAGTTTATATAACTGGAAATGTATTAAAAATTTATATATGAAAAATATTATTAGGCATCAATATTTAATTTCATCGTATTTGCTTATCCCTTCTTTACTTATTTCATTTAATTATATAACAGTCTAACTTATCTTATTATTGCATTAATTTTGTTTAATTCATTTATTGATTTTATTCCTATAAATATTTGTTTATTTTATATTTAAACGAGAAAAGTAAAACTACGTTGTTAAAAACATAAACTCGGTCAAATGCCTGAACTGAAGTTATGAATGCTCGACTACTTGTTACACTTTTCGCCGCACATGCGCATTGTCGGAAACAATTACAATTACAGAATCTAACATTCTTCATATTTTGTTGCTCTCTTTTATTTTATTTTTATGAATAATAATTTGAAAAACTTCAGTAAAGTCCATTTAAACTATTAAAAATATTAAAATAAAATTAGAACAAGGGAAAGAATTATAATTGAAAGAAATTAAAAGAATTAAACTTAAACATTTTAAATGCTTAAATTATGGAATAATTAAATTGTAGACTATTAAATTATAGAAAATTAAATGTAAATAATTAAATATTGTAAATTAAACTCACTCAGCCTTTGTTTCTACGCTACTGTCGAGGAGATGTGCCGTGGACATAAGCGGTGACTTTGAAATAGCGCTTCGATATTGATTAAATGCCATTATGAAAGTCTATGTTCGTCCCTATGTGCGTGTCGTTCCGTCGACAGTGGACGCCAAGGTCGCGTATTAACATTACGTACTTCTATTTCCAGTAATACGTGCGTGCACATGATAGCATTACGTGGTAAACAGCGCGCAGATTAAATCTCTCCTGAACTAACGTTATCGCGCGGAATGCATCTTCGCCGGATATTTCTGTCGGGAAATTACCCCGAAGTTACTGTCGGATACCATCAGCCGTGCGCTGATCCCTGACAAAATCGATCACAGAGATATCTCATTTACGGCATTAGAATGTTTCTCAAGGAATAAAAGCGAGCATAAGATTGCCGAAATGACAGCTGTTCGCGAGTTTTGAAAGCACGACGCGCCAAGAAATTCACTTAAATCGCGTTCAGGAATTTCATTCGAATATATCTAGGTGTTATCTTTATTATACACTAAACATTAAACAAGAATAAAATAATAATTGGCTGCATCCGGGTGCTGAATGGGTGCTGAAATCCTAATAGGAGAAACGTGAAGGATAATATCACACGATTGAATTAATCCGTAATTATTCTAATTGACCCTACCTTCAATGAACCTGCAACCCCTACTGGTGCGCGCCAATTGGAATTCGCTGCGGCAACGCGCACGCACCACCCAATCGGAAATCGCACGTTGACACACCTATACGAAGAGCGGAGTCCTCTCACCGCAAAGCCTACACTCGCGCTTACCTTTAACTCACCGCCACGCCGTTTTCCCCGATAACGCGACTCCACTCTGGCCGATAACGCGGCAGTGACGTAACGACGGAGACACACTCACCTTCCACCAGCGTGCGGTAGGTCGACCCACTTTTCCCATGAACGGCCGACGAAACGACAGGCGAAACACGGGGGCTTCCACGTATTCTTTTATCGATCTCGCCGTATATTTACGTCGTCACGCTGTCCTTAACCAACTAAATCTCGTATCTCGACCCGAGTGGTTCGGATGCAGTGTATGGTGTTACGTCGTTGATGCGTTGTTACGTTCGCGACACTCAGGAGAATAAGGGTGGTCTCCACCCCTCAAGACTTAAGAATAAGCTTCGTCGCGACGGTGTCCGTCATCGTCACGTGACAACACAGAGGCCTGACGGACGCACACTCGCGACAGTCATGGTCGTCGCGCAGCTGTTTGACGGTAGACAGCGCAATGGAACGAGGTGGAGCACCGATGATTGTGTATACGAGTCGCACACGCGAGGGCGATGCGAGTTTCCGCGAGATATATTCCTACGGGGTGCAAAGAGCATGAAAGACGACGAAAGGGCGCGCGCGCGCCCCGATGCGTGTGTACGTGTGTGCACGAGAAGAGAACGAGGGCGCACGCAAGCGCAGCCCGCAGCGTCATCGTCTACGGTCGTAGTGTTGTTGTCGACTCGTTACCTCAATTCAATATCACGTACCTCTCTCTCTCTCTCTCTCTCTCTCTCTCTCTCTCTCTCTCTCTCTCTCTCTCTCTCTTTCTCGCGCGCGCGCGCTCTCTCTTTTTCTCTCTAGCACGCCTGTCGTTACGTCATCGCGTATACATGTTGCGTTACTGAATGCGTGCACGCACGTGGTCAGACGTAGTGATGATTTTTTGATTCTTAGAATTAGAAAAAGATAAATAGCAAGATTAAAATTAATATTATATTGGCTGCATTCAGCAGAGAAAATTAATAAGCGCTTAGTAATTCTTTAATACGATTGCTCTCTATATTTAGATTTAGCGAAGAAACTGAGACAAGAACCAATCATATTAAAGAATCATTAAGCGCTAACTGAATTTTTTCTGCTGAACGCAGCCAATGATAAAACTTAATAATAATGATATGCCTAGATGATTGAAACTTATGAAATGTGATAGATCAGTAATTATTAAGTATTAAGTATTAAGATTCAATTAAAAACGGGAAATTGAATTATTTCTCTTCAGCTATTTGTTTCAAAATTGTCTTTCCATAATTAAATTAAATTGTTTTTTTAAAATAATGACAAGAAAAAGAAATAACAAGTGCGGAAAAACATTAAAAGAAACATATCTATTATGTTGTAAGAAGAAAGGGAACGCTCTTAAAAAGTAAATTTATTTGCAGATAGCACTCTTACTGTGATACAGAGCTTTCTCGATAGATCATTATCTTCTGCAAACCTTTTTTTTTTCATATCTGTTTATATAAATTAATTTTCTAATTGATGTCAACAAAGTATATACAATAGCATTTACAAATAAAAATAATAATAAAATAATGATGAAAACACTAGCAACGAGTAACTTCGCAAGAGAATTCCTTAACGCTTAAAATAAGTTTTCCGTGAAGATAATCTGTTACGATAATTAAGTTTATTTTTTAAATTATTTTTTAATTATTTACTAACTAAAGATCATTTTCTTTCTTAAAAGATGGGAAAAGTACTTAGATTTTTCTGATTGCATTTGAATGCATTTGATTTCATGGCTATTTGTATCAGCGCTATTTTTATATGTTTTTAGAGCTTAAAAGTGCTTTGAAGTCACAATATTATCTTTGCACAGATCGAGTTTAAGGACTGTGAATATCTCGTTAATTTAATACCATTTCAACATGAATTATGTAAGACTTCTGACGAGAATAACCGCTCTGTAATTTTTCAAAGCTATTTGGGATGCAGATATTAATTAATTATTTTGTAAGTTTTCAAAGCTGTCTAAGATACTTCATTATCATTTCAAGAAGTTCTTTTAATATTCAATATCTACAACAGAATTTACAAATTTTTCGAAAATCTCATTATCAGGCAAATTATTGGGACATAAAATTATCGACTTTGTAAAATAAGTTTCAACTATTTCTCCATTGCAAAAATAATTAATTCTACCTTTCTACGTTATTAAAATATATGGCAAAGAAAATAACCACAATTCACGTGGAATTAGGTCTAATTCTGACAATTATTTAGACGGAATAAAAAAACTTGCAAATTAAAGATATCTAATGTTACAAATTTATTAATTTTACAAATAGAATGTTCCTTCGAGAGACAAGCAGAGCCATCGTCATCCCTCTGCGAGCTTTTTCACGAGTCAACCCTTGCGTATTCGCGGCCGATAAAATCGCGCTCCTGTCAGAAATTACCAACCCCTCAGCCCCGAAATAGGTATAGCCGAGGGAGGAGGGTGAAGAGTCGGGCGCGCGGAGGGTGAGTTTGATGAATAATTCGCTTGCGTGGGGCTTTTCGTACTTTGAAAGCTCACCACAGGATGGCGACGCTTCTCTGACACGGCAGGAAGTGCTTTCGACCCCCTGTGAGAACCAAGGACGAATCGGCCAATCGGCGTAGTAGAAGCGAGGGCCGAGCCTGTAGTTTCTAGAATTTAACAGCACGACCGCCATTTTCGGCCGTTCCTTCCAATCGCCGTTCGACACATCGTTCCTCTCTCTTACGACGATTTCGCTGTCTCGTTACGCAATTCAGCAGATACATTATGTATGACACACAGCTGTGCTGCGATTGCATGATGCAAATATTGTAAGCAAACCGGCAAGCAGGCGGAATGTCACTGGTCATCCGCGGCGAAGAGATCTCGATAAATGCCGACAATCTATGATTGCATCGAAACACACACGATTACTTAACTTTTTATTCCGCGACGCTGCGAAGGAAATTTAATAAAAATAAAGGAAGAAAAAAAATTTGTGGTTTACATGAAAACTCACACACATTAATTCTGGCCTGTCCAATGTGAATTCCGAAACCAAAACGTAAAACTATCGATGCAAAAAAATTCAATATGGATAAGATTTCGGGAACTGCAAAGTTATCTGGTATATATCTTGGTATATGAGCGTCTGAGTAACGCTTATCAACACTTTACAGTTCCTAAAATCTTACATTGAATTTTTTGCGTCAATGGCTTTGCGTTTTAGCTCTGGAGCTCAGATTGAACAGTCCTATTTTAATTCGTGAGTACCTCATAAAATGGAATTTTCCTCGAATCACAACTGCACGTTTGTATATTAATAAAATTAACGTACAACTGCATGTCTCCAAATCGTAATATTCTTTAGCAAAATAATAAATATAGCTTGAAAATAAATGTACCAAAATTAAGATCAATATTTATTCAAACTATTCGAAACTATAATCTTCTCTCTCTTACGAACTCTTCAAATTTAAACAAAATGTAGATCACAAAGGGCGAGATAAAGAGAGAGAGAGAGAGAGAGAGAGAGAGAGAGAGAAAATACATCGTTGTCGACGAAACGCACAGTATAAAATGCAGATGCTCCTTTATTCCATATTAATATAATTATCTAGATTCGTATGTTTCAACTCATTTTGGAGTCTTTCTCAGCAAATACATACTTAATAATCCTCCTTACTCAATATTGCCAAAAAATTTAAATTTGCAAATCATCAACTATTGTGTTTTCATTCACTGTACTTGTTTTTTAATCAAAATGGTATTAGCATTAAAAACACTTATAAAACAATCGAAAGAATTAAAATTTCAGAAATTTTGCTTTTTATTTTTATCGTTAATAGTATTTGATAAAAGATCAATGCTGAGCGCTGAAGCGTGTATACTTAATGATATACGTCGAAAAAATAACTCGTTACTTAATTAATATACCGCAAATTGAAAAAGATTGAAAAACTACTTTAGACTTAAATTTTATAATTCATTCTTACAATTCTTTCAAAAATCGTTTCGAGAATATTAAATTTTCAATCCAAAACGAAAACCAATCGCAATCTTATTAAACGACTTATTAGCAGTCTTATTAACTGCTGAATATCAATTAGTCAAGACTTATTCAAAGGATCTTTGATAGTCGAGAAATACATACACGATTTATTAAATCAAATCTCCAATTATATCCTATTCTGAGGAATACTGCACTGCAAATGTAAAATTTAAATGAAAGCAACGATGTCTCACTTTCTCTCTACACCTAATGATAACGAAGTTTTATTCGCAATTTGTCTATTAAATTTTTATCACTGAGCTCTTCTCTTTTATTTATACCGCACGTCTTCGAACTTCGGTCGCGACGAAAGAAGACGCGTCGACACATGAAATTTCCGAGGAGAGCCGAAGATTCGTCCATCCGTTATATTAATTATGCAAATTCGCCGCCGCGGATGTGGAATAACGCCGCTGTCACAACGGTAACAAACAGGAAGAAACGATTTACATATCGCGAAAATGCAAGCCACAGAGATGTAAATTGTATGACCATGCAAGCGGCGGCAACGCGACGGAGAGTAGAGTTTTACACTGATAGGGAGAATAGCGTAATCGAGGAATTGAGGAGACTGCGAACAAAGGAAAAATCGAACGGTCGAATACGCGTTGAAGAAAGACAGAGAAAAGCTCGCGATGAAAGCTTTCCAATTAGCATAAGTGTGGAAACGTTCCGCGGTTGGACGATAGATTTAACGATTCAGCCGAAATTCTATTCAAATAGAGACTCAAAAAGGAGTTTGGAATGGTTGGCAAACGAGATACTTTTTAACAAGACTGCATATTTTTTCGTATTGCTTTTCTTTATTAAATGCAAGTACTTGATTCTTTTCTATCCTCTTTTTTTTTCGCATCTTCTGTCAGATACATTTAAATAGCGTCAAGCATGCTCCGGTTCGTTTATTTGTTACATTATGAATAAAACTGAACCAATTGCTTAATATAAATCATTAAAAATATTTAAAGGTTCTCGTAAACATATATTTCCGAATTTTTATTATAAAATAATGAAAAGTTGTTTTTGTGATATTGGATATCTCTGAAAAAAATAAATATATTATATGTATACATATATAAAATACAAGAATGCATCATATAAGAATATATGGCGGTGCTAAAATAAATTTCGAGAAGCATCTAAAAAAACGTGAACTGAACATTCAAAAAAGATTAAGAAATGTCTAGTCGAATAATTTGTATCATCATACAATCACTTAGATTTTCAAAGTTTTATGTAGCTGAAATATATAGTACATAGATTAGTATTTATAATTAAAATGTATGATGTATTAATTCGCTGTACTAATAATATTTATGACTTACTTCTAAAATATCAGAGTTGTTATATGCATTTTCAAATAACATGTCTACAAATTCTTCTACATTTTTCATAAAAACTAATGTAGAAACAAAAAACTTTGAAATTTTAAAGAAATTCTTTTTATGCACTATGGTCTCTTTAGGTATCTATTCTTTAA